CTGGAAGTAGTCTGATGCCAGACTCGATTGAGGAGCCCAAGAACGACGACCCCTGGGGTTTGGCTACCTCGAAGAAGGACAAAAAGAAGAAGGGGAGTAAAAACATCGCCATCGAGATTGAAAATGGTTCTCATCTCAATGGTATGAAACCTGACTCAGTTGAAGAGAGCAGAGGCGGCAAACATGACTACGACGATTGGGGTTGGGGAAATTTGAAAGGCCACAAGGATTCTCCGCCTCCAGCACCTACGCCTCCTTCATTAAACATGAGCCTGTCTGGCCAAGAACTGGAAGGGAACGTTTGGGATGACGCAGCGAAGGCTGAAGAAGACGAGAGAGCCGCGGCAGAAGCCGAAGCGGAATTAGCAGCCGAAATTGCTGCTGAAGAGGAAGAAATCAAGAAGCTCACGGCTAAGAGCAAGAAAAAGAAGAAGCTCAGCAGGGTTGATCAAGAGAGACTTGACGAGCTCCTTGAAAACGCCTCCCGCCGCGCCGAAGTGAAGGCTGCTAAGGAAGCCGAAGAGGCAGCGCAACGAGAAGCCGAAGAAAAGGCGGCTGCCGAGGCTTTAGAAGCAGAGCAGAAAGCTGCCGCCGAAGCCTTGGAGGCCGAAGAAAAGGCTGCTGCTGAAGCCCGTGAGGCTGAAGAGAAAGCCGCCGCAGAAGAGCTTGAAGCGGAAATCACTGCTGAGGAAGCTGAGATTGCTGCACTGACAGCCAAGAGTAAGAAGAGGAAGAAATTCACTAAAACCGACCAGAAGAGACTCGACGAACTTATCGAAAGAGCCAACGCTCGTGCCGAAGAGAAGGCTGCACTTGATGCGGACAAGGATGCTGAAGCCGAGGAGCAGGCAGCTCGAGAAGCCGAAGAGAGAGAAGCAGAAGAGCAAGCAGCACGAGAGGCAGAGGAGGAGGAGGCTCGAGAGGCCGAAGAGTTAGCTGCGCGTGAAGCTGAGAGAGAGGCCGAGGAGCAAGCTGCTAGAGAAGCGGAAGAAGAGGCCGCTCGTGAAGCTGAAGAACAAGCTAAGCGCGAACGCGAGGAGGCCGAAGCTGCGACTAAGAAGAAGTCAAAAAAGAGCTCTAAGGCCGAGGAGAAGAAGTCCAAATCTAGCAGCAAGTCGAAGAGGGAGAAAGAGAAGGAGGAGAGGGAGAAAGAAAAGGAGAGAGAGAGACTAGAGAGGGAGAGAGAAGAGAGAGAGCGAGAAGAAAGGGAGGAGAGAGAAAGAGAAGAGGAAGAGAAAAAGGAGAATAATAGGTACGACGACGACGACGATGACCTTGATCTCGATAATCTCGACTTGGCTCCTGAACAAGTGGACGAGCTCTTATCGGGCTTCTCATCCCCCATTCCTAAACCGCCACCAATCACAAGCAAAGCCGACGCGTTTTCATTCTGGGGTGCCAAGCCTAAGAGCTCATCGCCCGAACGGGTAAGTGGCTTCAAAAGTTCGGGTACAACCGAGATTAGACATGCTGAGTCATCACAGGTTCTCGAAGATGCCGCCATAGATGATGCACCGTCATCCTTCAAGGCTACTACCACTGACGATGATTGGATGAAGCCTAAAAAGACTAAGGTTAAGAGCAGTAAACTTTCCGAAAAGCTGAGGAAATTTGAGCCAGCCAAAGAAGAGGATGACGACGATCTGATTGATGCGTTGGCTGCGCCGCCGCCGCCACCACGTGTTCCTGCGGCACCACCCACTGAGGAAAGATCTTCGAGAGACCTACTTCCCGGAGCTTTCCCAGATGAACAAGACGAGAACGAAATCATCGAAATTGTTGACATGGCGCCCGTAGAGAAGAAAAAGAAAAGCAAGAAGAGTAAATCTAAGGCTGTGGAAGTAGCTCCTCCACCCCCAGTGATAGCCATCCCACCTCCTCCTCCCGAAGTGCCCATTCCTCCTCCGGCTGCTCCTGATGCACCCGAAGCGCCCGACGCGCCTCCGACACCGCCTCCCGAGACCAAGTCCTCCAAGAAAGAGCGGGCAAAGATTAACCGCGATGCCGGTGCATCATGGGGAATGTGGTCGGCGTCACCTCGCAAAGAGGAGAGGAGGTCTAGGCCAAAGCCCGAAGAGAAGCGGCCCAGGAAAGAGAGGGAGAAAGAGAAATCATCGTCTTCGAAGGGTTCGTCGTCGGATAGAGATGCAAGAACTGAGGAACGCCACGAGAAGAAATCAGCGTCAATTCCTAAGCAGCGCACAAACAGTATATTCCAGAGCACCCCTCCGATTTCACGTTCCATGTCGACCCGCGAGAAACGTCCTGGCGCAACTAGATCCAGTTCCCATCGTCATTCGTTTGAAATGACAAGTGGTCTAGTGTCACCGCCGCCTGAAGACATACCTGTTATGTCCTCTAAAGCTGCGAAAGTCTTCGGTGTTGATAAGAGTCAAAAGAGTCATAGTCGCAAGACCTCAAACGCACGCTTCCTAGACGATGAGGACATTGTCATGACCACTGATGCCCCACCGAACCCCGAGAGAACAGCTCGCAAGCGATCAAAGGTAAGGACGCGCCTGCATACAAAACGCGATGTCGCTAACTTAGACCAGACCAAGGCCGAAGACGAAATGTTCATGACTGATGGAGGATTTCCCATTGATGCGACGCCCCTCCAACGGTCAAATTCGAGTGCCAAGAAGGGGCTTGCCGGTCTCTTTGGAGGACTTAAATCCACTCCGCGCACTGAAATGCGTCCCGAGCCACCTCGTCGTCGCAGCACATATTATACTACGGATGACGAGATTAGGCCTGACAAGAGGGCTAAGCGCTCCTCACGAGATTATCGCGGTATCGATCCCGATGCCATGGATGAGGAAAGGGAAGCTCGTCGCGCCGCCCGCCGTGCTCGAAGGGCCGAAGAGAAGGCTGCCGAAGAAGCGCGTATTGCGAAGGAAGAAGAGAGACGGGAAAGACGTAGGAGGCACGAGGAGGATACTGAAGCTCGTAGACAGGCTGAGCGCGAAGCCCGACGGGCCGAACGTAGAGCTGCTCGAGAACGCGAAGCGGAGCGCCTTGCTGCTGAAGCCAAGGAAGCCGAGAGAGCCGAACGACGTCGACTTCGAAGGGAAAGGGAAGCAGCCGCTGCCGAAGAGGCGGAGGCTGAAGCTCGACGTGCTGCCCGGGCCGAACGACGACGGCAGCGGTATGCTGAGGCTTCTGAGGACGACGAAGAACGGAGACGAAGGAGGCACGAGGCTAGACGCGCTGAGGAAAGGGCTAGTCGAAGGCGTACGATGCCGGCTGATGACTATGTCTACCCTCAGGAGAGGACCTCAAAATATGTGGTCGATGATCGTAGGCGAGGCAAGCCAGCAGCCTGGCCGCATTCGGGCACGGATTCCTGGGTGAAGGAGCATTCGGACGCCGGGCCGCCCCCTGAAGACGGTGGCCCTGTTCATGACGCGCCTCCGGAGGACGATGAGGAGGCTCGCCGTGCCGCCCGTCGAGCTGCTCGTCGTCGTGCGAAATATGGCGACGTCGATGCCGAGATGGAGGATGACCGAAGACGACGTCGGGCCCATCGCGAGGAACGAGAGCGTCGTGACGAACGAGATCGAAGAGATGAGCGCGATCGAAGAGACCGAAAAGATCGTCGTTTGGGTGGTTCGGACGGCAGTGGTAATGGCAGAGAGGGGCCGCGCGAGTCTTTCTTCACTGACACAACACCACGAAGCAGCTGGTGGAGGAAGCTCACCGGCAACTGACTCTTTAAAAGATTGGTTACGAAGTGAGGCCTATTGATTGGTCATTGGCGTAATTTCTTGGACATTCTTCTGCGCGATTTGATTCCCCTCAACCTCAACGCCTTGTTTACCTAAGTATCTCTCCCCGCTTTGGATTGGCTTGCATAATCTTCTTCATATACTACCTACTCTTTGGGCATTGGTCTTTCAGCTTCGGGTGTTATAGCCCTCGTTGTACACTCATATTTAAGGGGTTGCGAGCTTACACGCTTTTTAATTGTAATGTACGGCACGGCACAGCATGACATAGTGTTTGGATGATGGCATGTCCGCCTCGGTGTGCACAAGTGACGTGGCAAGGCTGAGCGGGATTGGGGGGAAAGGCAAAGCAAAGCAAAGCATGACGGAGGAGGGGATTGGATGTTTGGATGGACTGGATCCATCTACCCCAGACAACAGACAGCCCGACGCTTCTCCGATTGGACGATTTAGATGACATCTACACCCCAATGTTGGAGATCACATATTATTTTGGTATTCATATCCATATTGTTAGGAGTTTTTATTGTTTTGTTTGGCCGTAGTGAGCGATATGAGCGATTCATAAATCGATATACCCCACCGTTCAACCCTGCTATATTAGGTACATGTATGTTGGGTAATATAAGTCTGCATAAGTAGCATAGTTTAGCATAGCGCCGCTCGTTTGGAAATTTGAGAAATATGAAATATGAAATATGGACTAATGAATAAGGAAAGAGGGTTTAGAAGACTATGCTTATTCGTTTGTGCTTGTGCCTAGTTGTGTGGACACCGAGATAGGTGCCTGAGATGTTGAAATGTAGGTGTTGCTGGTACCTTATGTAGGTATCCGTTCATTAGCCCCTGAGCTACGGCACGCTGTGCAGGTGTGGCTTGTTTGCTGATATATGGCATCTTCCTAGTTATTCTTATCTACGAAATTAGGAGAGAAGAATATTAGCGATTGAACTTTTGGATGAATCATACGCAATAGGGGTAATGGAAAATATATATTAGATATGAGTGATGATAGACTTTACAAAGCCCTTTACCGTCACGTAGTTGCTAGACCTCAGCTGACTTCGCGTTTGCATGGTTCAACTAGTGAGGTACGCGGCCTAACAGCTACCATCCATGGTTCAGCTTCCAAAGACGCGTCTCTCACAGGCTCCCACGCGTTTGTCCGCCCCTTCCCATACCAATAATACCTTCCACCTAACACCCGGCAACCAGCAAAGACCTTATATAGCTAATTAACAATGTCCCGTACAACAAATAGGCGGCGCAAAAGCATCCATAGAGCAGTAGTTTAGCTCACTCCCCTCCCATCTACCGGGCAAGGGAGAGACCCGGGTGCAAATCCCGGTGGATGCAATCATATTTCTTTTTGGAACGGCGAGGTCTTGGGTTCACGCCGGACTCAAGGCCATTCTTTTTTTAATTTTTTAAATTTTTTTTTCTTTGACAGGTAGGTAATGTTTCGCTCTATGAATTCATTAACAAATGTAGTGAGTGAATCAGTAAGATGTTGAAGAAGTATTAGAACGACCGGTCTCTCTACCTACCGTATATAGTGCCAATGTCATTATATTATGTCAGTACGATTATTCAGATCATGTGTATTCCAAGTTCTTGGTAAAGTACCTACATATAGGTAGTTTCGTAAAGTCTAGGAGTGATGTATTTCTGAAATACTAATTAATATTCCTCGACTCGCCTACCTAAAACCAACTCTGTGACGGGCACAGAAGTAAAGATCATTTAGTACCTCTGTTATTCCCTCCCAAGGGTACGTACGTAAGTGTATAGGTATATATACACATATATGCCTTCATAGATTCATAAATATCGCCACGTCTTGTCCATCTAAATCGGACACCTGCTTAATAAATCTAGGGGCCATCTTACTCAGAGGGTATGACCTTTCTTTTCCGGGCTCCCCACGTGGGAAGTAGGTCTTCGTAGGTAGCATAGATGCCACATGTCAAGAAATACAGGCAGCAGATAGTAGCTAGTAGCCTTGAAATCACATCACATCCCAGAAGACACAAGAATCATCAGCAAGATCAAATATAGGTCATTTGAGTCGACAAGTCCCAACGGCCCACCCCAAGCAAAGGAGTAGCGTAATCCAGTGAGTTTTGCGCGTCTGCTACCTCCTCGAGGTGTCGGTAACCTATGTATGCGTCGATAGATAATCTTTACCAGAGACATAGACAATGCGTGTGCTAGCCAGCAGCCGTAACCCACGTCAGGTTCGTATGTATGTATGTTTGAGACACATCACACCAACCAACACCAACACCTACTACACCTTATGGAGAGCACTCCTAGTACAAGAAAAAAAACACACACACACGGATGGTAGTAAAAGAGGGAATCAATCCATCCTCCCATTTCTTTCCCCCGTAAACCAAATTCCACTCCCCTTTTTCTCACCCAGAGAAATATAACGCCAACTCGCAGCAGGAGCAGCAGCAGCAACAGTAGCAGAGTGTCTGCGCGATGAAAACAGCGACAATGACAACAACAACAACAACAGCGTGGCTAGGTAGTTATACCTGCCTGGACAACCCAATGCCACATGCCTAATTGTGATAATAATAATAATAATAATGGTAACGAGGTTCATGTCCAAAAGCACACTTTTCTGGATAATCCAAACGGAACACAAATCGTGGACGCCTTGGTTTTTGCGAGGGGCTTTCCCTATTGGGTGCCGTCGCCCACTTCTCAGTCAAACCAACCGCCCACCCCATGACTTGAGAAAGAAAACAAACAGTTCTGCTCCCTCTTTAGTAGTATTCGTAGCGATATCTTTTGTCGTAGCACATTACAAAGTCGATATTGTATATAGAAAGGCCGGTCCCAGCCCTGGTGGAATGCGTGGAATGAGAGTGCGATCGATGATTAAAAAAAATGCGAATCTAATGGTGCTGGTTCGATATACTATACGGGGAGCAGAGCGTGAAATAAGACCATTGAAGGCGTAGCGGGCTAGGTTCAATCCTCGCCGTAGCCGCTTTCTTCGTCTTCGCTGTCGGAACTGAGTTCGCCATATTTGGCCTTGTATCTCTCTAATTCGGCCAACTGGATAGCGAGGTTATCGAGAATGACATTCATCGGCGTTCGGAGATCATCTAAAGAGGTTATCTTGCCACCGCCTATCGCGATGTGTCGCATTGTAAGAGTGGATACGCAGGTCTGCAATATCGAGTTAGCGAGTCCAAATCAAAAACCTTCAAGAATTGGGGATACATACCTCTATACGGCTCACTTGGTGCTCCATGAAGTTAAATAGGAACCGTTCCGTAACCTCACCACCACGCTGCTTCATGCGCTCCAATAGCTCAGTCTCAGGAGGTTGCAAACCCCTGCCGGACATCTCTTCTAGAGAACTGCAAAGCATCTCCAGGCGTAGACTAACTTTCCACAGAGACCAAATAATATCCGGATCGAATCCGATTTCACTTCCGGGCTGAAGTGTAGCCGGCTTTTCGGTAGCGTCGGAGGCCGCAGCAGTGTTGTTATGATGTTCGATGCGGCCGGCAAGCACATGCGGATATAGTGAGTAAATGTACTCGGGGTTTTCGAGGCCTTTGAGCTTCCGCTCACCCATCTCCTTGACTTCAAATCCTTGTGAGCTAAGCGATTTCAATTCTCTCCTGATTGCCGACGAAGTCACGTCGTCATCGAAGGTATCGTCGGAACCTGTAGACCCAGTCCGGTCATTTTCCTGATAGGTCTCAAGGCAACGCTGAATTTCCGATATGAAATCTGCTGACACGGTAATTTGACCCCCGTCGGCTACGGAAGATATACGGGACGCCTTGTTTACCATCGGACCGAAATAGTCCATACGACGCGTAACGGGATCAATCTCAGCCACTGGCTCGCCAAAATGGATACCCATTCTGACCGATAGACCTCTGAAGATGAGGTTATTGTCCTTATCGTACGTCTCTTGGCAGGAAACCGAATTGAGAATTTCCGAAGGCCAGTCTACATTGAGTAGGTGGGTTTGAACGGCAAAGCACCATAACAGTGCTGAAGTCGCGGTGGGGAAGGAGACCATAAAAGCATCACCTTCTGTCTTGACTTCGTATCCGCCGATTCTTCGAAGCTGTCGTCGCATAACCTCGTTGTGAAGTTTAATTGCAGATCTCATGGCCGAAGGATATGTCTCCCACAGATTGGTTGAATTCTTGATATCGGTAAAAACGATAGAGGGCTTGTCAGTGGGAGCGGGAACTTCAGCCTCAAGCCTGTGTAGCGTGGAGTCTTGGACTTCACCCTTGGCCTTTCTGCCTCGTTTGGGTGGATACTGGTATTCGTCCGGGACGCCCGAGGGATAAAGTGACATGCTCTGCCCCCTATGCAACCGAGCTGACCGTTCCTGGCGCCGCTTGAGATCAGCAACGCTGATCATCATTATCATGATTTTGCTAGTTGCGCCATAGGCGATGGCGAGATCTCGTAGCTTATGCGCCGCGCGCATGAGATCATGTCGCTCTGAACGAGTAACGTCAACCACCAAACCAGGGGTGAGATATTGCCACAACTCTTTCGTTGCGATCAAAATCGTTTCATCCTGCGGCGTGATCGAGACCTGTTTTATATGGGGAGCTGCTTGTACAGCCGGCATTAGGTCCACGTAACCGAAAGCACGAGAGACTTCAAGCAAATCGTTCAGCTTCCCCTGGCGCGATACCCAACCTCCAGCATCCCGTATCCGTTGACGTTCATTAGGCTCGGCCGGATCATGTTTCCAAGTGAGAATATCATGAGTACCATCGGACCGAATGAGCATAGCCTGCGCGTCACCAACATTGGCGACATACAACTCCTGACCTTGGAGGTATGCTACTGTGGCGACCCCTCCCGAATTAAGGTCTTCCTTACTAAGAACGACGGGAGCTGATGAGCCACGATGCGACATCAACGGCCTCTTCTCCGTATGTTCGATGGCTACAGTCACAAGGTCCTTGTTGAGAGCGAGAAACGCACGCCTAAGCGCATCGACTGGAGTCTCATTCTGTCGTGGCTTCAAGGCCTTAAGCTCCATTGTAAAAATGTGACCGAAGTTCTCGTGAAGGTACTTGGCGATCTTAGAGCCACCACTAGAAAGCGCTTGGCCGTCGAACAAACCAAGGAGAGTTTCGGAATCTGAAGAGTTGAATCTTGGGACCACTAGATCAATCGTAGAAAGATGCTCGTTCCTGCCCAGTGTGTCGGCCATACCGTATGGTAGGTGACCAGCTAATGAGCCCGATGTTCTGACACGGCGGTCTTCGCTCTGATCTGGGATACTTGGTTGAGTAAGGGTAACATCCATCAATCCAAGCACGCGCAGGTTTAACAATCGGCTGAAATCGGTATACTGCTCGCGGTTTAGAGACCCTATGCCAGGATTTGTCTGTTTGATTTCCAAACGTTTGTTTCCTGACAAATTGAGGAAGCGCAAATTCGGATTCAGGTTCCAGTTCCAGTCGTATGGAACGTTTGAAATATTGTATTTAAGAGAATTGTTTCCACAATCCAATACGGCCAGCTTTTTCGCTCGGGAGATATCCGCCGGAAGGTTGGTGAATTTGTTATTGTTGATGTGAAGCACCTGGAGCAAGCTATACTCCTCCAGATCATCAACCGGCAAACTAGTCAAATCGTTACCAGAGAGGTAAAGTTCCACGAGCTGGGGCCAGTTCTTGATGCAGCGTTGTGGCATATCGCTGAGGTCATTGTATGATAAGTTGAGGATACGCAGTTCAGCCAGCGCTGTGATCTGTTCAAATACTTCGTCGTCGAGCTGGTTATCAGCAAGATACAGGTTTCTTAACGAGCCGGCAAACGTGTTAGTAAGCCTATTAGAAAGTCCAGAATCTTTTCTCGACGTTGCAGGAGGCGTCATAGTTCCATTAGCGCTACTAGCAGTTGTTGATCGGGAGACAACCGAAGTTTTCCGCCCTCCCTTTCCGTAGACTGAAACGACAGAGCTCTTCCGATCCGCACCAGAAGGAACAGGTGAAGGCCCGACACTGAGCAATGTGCTCGATGCTTGACTAGGTCGGCGCGACCCGTCAGGCAGAAGATCCTCGGAGCTAGACGCGGAGGAAAGGAGTCCAGTCGTGGCTTTATTACTGGGAGCCGGTGAGCCTGAAGATTCGCCGGGCATTTGAGGCGGGCGTGAAGCTGGCTTCGGGAAATTTTCGAGCACGTTTGAGGAGGCATTGAGGGTCTCCAGTTTGTTTGCCCACCATATGTCCATCGGCAACTTCCTAATGTTGTTTCCTCTGACATCCAGGACTCTCAACTCAGTCATACACCCGATTTCCGGAGGTAACTCGCCCACTGAATTGTGAGCTATGCTGAAGTGC